GTAAACCAAATGCAGTGAAGAGGACTGCACAAAAGACCCTGGGTCATTTTGTGCTGGCAACTAACTGTGTACTCACTGAACCTGTGCATGTTGGTATTCCATATAGAAAACACATGCAAGAGAGTGACTGTGGGCACTTGTGCATATTTGTGCTGTAAAACCAAAGGAAGGTTAACCCTAACCTTCCCTAACCACACAGAATTAAACAGTAGTAAAGTGTTTAATTCTGTGGGGATACGTCTGGTAGACCCATAACAGCTGGCTTTTGCATTGGGTTTGGCATACCTCAGAAAAACAAAGTCCAACAGCCTCTGTGCACAAAGTCCTATGGGTGTTTATGAGTGAATTTGGAAGGTTAGGGCCAGCAACCCTTGGGGGGTTAGGGTTAAAGGTATAAATCTATCGTAAGAAGTGCACACCTATCTTAAGTATTTGGAACATATTTTACAGTTGGTGACATTCATGTGTAACCCAATAAATGTTTGCTTTCACCCAGCTGATTCCCTGATCTGCTGAGCTGTGATAGAGAGCGGCATGTCGTCTGTGCGCTACTTGGACCGCAAACTTCTGCGGAATATCCTCCACCACACAGAGACGCACAACCGTCTGCAAGAAGAGGAGGAGATGTGGCGAAGCCGCGCCAAGGAGGCGTTTGGCTGGAAACACGACCCCTTCAACCCGGGAGGCAGGAGAGGCCGCGGCAGATGGAATCGAAACAGAAGGTCTGATAAGCAGGGCCTTTCAGGCCTTGTCAAGAATGGGCTTTAAGATGCTAAGGCTAGGTCTTACTTCCATCGCGTCTCTGCAAAGACTAACATGGACGTGCAGACCTAGCTGTAGACAACAGGTTCAGATGCAGCCTAAGTTACAGAAAGTGTTGTCATGTGACCTTGGTGACTGGCTCCACAACAATGGATATTTTGGGACATTTTTTCAAAATGACGTACATACACATTTGAATTGGTTGCATTACATAAATAAGCTTTATTTTGGTGTACATGTAGATCTGAACCCCGTGGCATTTTTCAGTCTGGAGGTTTACTGATTTTTGCATTTACCCCACATTAACAGAAGTGCTGTCAGAGATAAAGCCCTTTAAACACAGGAAGTGAAAAAAAGAAATCAGCCAATCAGAAAGTTTCTTGAATGTCCATAGCAACAGTTAGGTTTCTCATATGAATTGTGAAAGTATTGATATAATAGAAGCCAATAATTAAAAATCACCCTTTTCACACAAAAGCCCTTAGCATGAAATAGCACAGGGTCCCTTTATACCCTTTTTTGCAGAGTTGGTCACATATCAGAGCTGTATGTAGAGAGAGTATCGTCGGCCACATTTTGGAAACAAAATGGCTGGTCGTGCGCAGCAGAGCGTGCAGCTATTGTATGCCAATTGTCCATGTGCAGTGATGCCTATACCTGCCAGTTGGTTTCCAAGGACGGTCACACATGTCACAACTTTCTCTGTACATGGCCTTATGTCACGACCCTTCTGTAATTGACCTTACTGGTACATGTACATGTGTATACAGGAAAGCCACTTGGAATAGTGTTCTCCCAGGGTATCTAATATTCACGAGCGTCTCTTAATTTAAATAGGGTGGCTCACTTTTCAATTTTTTTTCTGTACATGTGTAACCTAACCATTCTGAATCCAACAAGCACATGCATGATGTCAATGGTCCCTAGCATTCCCTCGGGGATAGGGTTAATTACACATTTTAACTTATTAACCCTAACCGCCTAGCATATTGTTTGGCTTACACTACACATTACTACAAAATACTAATTAATAGTCTGAGCCTGAAGGACCTAGCGCTACAGATTACTATTTCTGGCTAGGTTACGTCCATTGGTATTTGTACAGAGAACGAGAGAATAAAGCCATGCATTCATAGTGCCACAGCACTGTATGGTACATTGTCTTATCTATTGTGTTTTATGGCTTCACAGAACAATAAAATCATGTCCTCTTACAAGCGACAGGGCTGAGTACTACATTTTACTACAAGTACAGTGTAGTAATTTGTAGTATTATGTAGGGTTAGGGTTAATCAGCGTGTCTTGACATTAATTCATAATGAAGCTTTATTTCACTGGCTTTGTTTTACTCTCAGACTCCTGAACTAAAAAAAGATAATTTCACTTTAGATTCAGTATTACCGACTCACAAATTAAGTCTGTCGAACAGGAAAAAGAAAAAATTGGAGGAAATTCTAAACTGACTCTTTAGTTTCAAACAAACAGAGTTTACTGTAAACAGGGTTTAAATTTCATTTGAAAAGTCACTTGACCATAAAGTCACTCCACGGCATTAGTGTTGAAGATGACCAGCAAAATTCCCATATTTGCCAGTCTCTTAAAATGTTCAGGATGAATTGGAAAAGGATGTCCGTTTCCATGCTAAAGATGTTCATTAGTTGGTAACTTTCTGAGCGGAATCGGTCAGTGTTAGTCAGCATGATGATACCAAAAGCACTAGACCACCAGACGTGTGAGGTCGTGGGCTACCCACGACTGACATCTAACTCAGTGGATAAGTAAATCCCAGCTCTTTAGTGAACGTGCTGGTCGATCATTTTCAAATAACCTTGTGACAAAAGTCTCTGTGAAAATGGGTTGTGGCTTGCATTTTGATAAATCAAAACATGGGTGGATGGTTAATTTCAATCTAGGCTTTTCGTTTCTTAACCTTTAATTTATGTTGGGGTCTAATCATGAAATCTTACTCTAAGTTTCAGTCCTCCAAAATCCTCTTGGTGAGTTTGGAGGATATGAGTCGTCAGGATGAAGTGACAAGTGTGACTCATTGCAAAGTGCATTAGGTCAAGGTCCAGGGGTAGACCTTGTGTTGTAAATGCGCTTTCATGCCTACGATTAAGGCAGTGGTCCCCTCTCCAAGGAACAGGTGCAAGAAATAATGAAAGTTATCTGCTCCGAGCGTAACAAAAGAGGGCATGTTCTTTTTGGTACTCTTCCCATAAGTGCACACTTAGAATGGAGATCAAAGGCACGTTTGACGTGGAACATGCTGAGTACGTGTAACAAATTTATTCCCTAACCCTCCTGCTGTGACTGTCAAAAACAGTCAAAAATTCCTTCTGAGAAATATGGAAGGGCTGCGTAGCACCATGATCAGAATATAAGATTAAATCAGTGCTCTGATTCAGTGGCAATCATATATTTCAGAGCACTGATATAATCTTATATTCTTGTCAAACGTTTCTTCCACTTGATTTGCCCCAGTACACATACACACATGGGAAATTTGACTTGTTTTGACGGATACGACAACTGTCAAGAATGTGTCTTTGCATAGGAGGGTTAATCTATGGTCTTTGCGTACACGCAGAATGCGTACAAGAACCCGCTTAGAAAACTTACAACCATTTCTCTTTCTTTTACTGCTTGGGGGAGCACTTCAACTTGGGGCAGACTGGATGATGGAGCAGTGCTCATTATTTCTAGGGAAGAAGTTGGAGGATTTTCCAAGGGTCTGAGGATTCATCCTAGTTAGAATGGTCAGGTGTCCAAGCCCCTTAGGCCTTTTTATAAGCCACCATCCTTAATCCTTAAAAATCTTCTGGTTGTCTGTGCAAGAAAATTGCATTCAGCTCAATCCTCCAAAATCCTCCAAAACTGCCTGGAAGACTTTTGAGGATTCAGGAGGGTTAGAGTTAATCCTTTTTGAGGATTTGGGACCATTGGAGTTAAGTATACTCGCAATTCAAGATGCTCTAAAAGTTAACCCCTCCACACCGGGATTCTTTTGACCGAGACTGCTGGGCTGTGGTATGCCCTGAATGGAGAGCTTGGTCTAGCAGCAGGCCCCATTGAACCAGCAGCTGCATGGTGAATAGACTGTATGTGTGGTATGCACTAATCACTTAAGCTCCTCAAAAAGTTGAGGTCTGGGGCCTGCAGACAACAAAAACATGTCACCCTCACTGTTGGATCATAGAGTAGCCCCATCCCAAAGTCCAAACCACAATGCAGGGTTCGCTAACCAGACTATTCGCTGGCACATGTACATGTACCTCTGCAAATTTCACCTTACAGTTGATACAAGTAAACTCTAGTAGGAGCAGTAAACTGGCACCACGATACAATCAGCTGTCAGAGGGTGGCAATTTTTGTCGACGTTCAACGTTGGTTTCTTCACATGAGTTCCTAAACACAAATGTCTGCTGACCTTTGCCTCTGGTGCAGTGAGTCCCTTGGGTATCAAAACATCATGTCACACATCATGGCAGTCAATAATTGATCATTGTTCATCTCACTCATGTACAGACGTGTATGAGTAATGAATGGCAACTGTTGTTTTGTTTCAGGGTAGACAGACTTCACCAAATGAACCCAGACTCGCAAGGCGTAAGTGACCACAGAAACTGGGACGGCCAACGCAACAGGGATATCTATCGAGCCGAACTAGGCAACCAGGAAAGGTGCTGTGATTTTATTTAAATTTCAGTCAGACTTTTGACAGTGTTGTCGTCTAAGGCTAGGGAAGCCAGGGGTGTCCTTTTGCAACCACAACCCAGGGTTCCTGCGGCCTGGAAAAGTCATGGAAATTTGTTTTCGTTTTCCAGGCCTGGAAAAGTCATGGAATTTTGTAAAATGACTAAAGTTATGGAAAAGTCATGGAATTTTGTAAAATGACTAAAGTTATGGAAAAGTCATGGAATTTTTCAAACGTTGTGGGTGATTTCTATTATGAGAAATAGGTGCATAAAATGCGTGATTTTATTCGCAACTTTAAAAATCTGAAAAGTCTAAGAAATTGCATTAGTGGGTCATGGATTTTCATAATTTGGTCATGGAAAAGGCATGCAAAAGTCATGGAATTTAATTGTCCTTTAGGTGTTGGAACCTTGACGACCAGAAACATGCTTGTGACATCAAGCGATAACCATGAACCTGTTTAGCCAGGCACAAAAATCCCAGAATCAAAGAGGCCTTTTCACACTGCAGCCTCTCAATCCGCGCTGAACTCGACCAACGGGAGAACACATGATTGCCCCGGGTTGACAATGTGATTTGTCAACCCTGCATGCAACCTGCCGTTGATTTTACACTCGCTTTTCATGCAAAACCCAAGCTTATTGGGATGAGTTCAACCTGGAGATGGGCACAGATGATTTTCACCCCAGGTTGAAATCTCAATCCTGGTCCAGAGCAGGGTTGAGTTCAACCGGGGTTGAAGTCAGTCTCGGGGGAGAGGCAGGGTTGATGCGGGGTGGAACATTTTCAAGTGTAAATGGTCTGCCTAATCCCAACTGTCGACCCAATGCGTGTTTGGAAAGGGTCAACAGATTCCGCGCGTTGTGATTGGTCAATGTGTTGCAAACGCTTGGGGGTGCACTATTGTGAATCGCCCGTATTGAAGAGAATCACATCACAGCACGTCAGTGTCCTCAGTTGATCAGGAAAACACTGGCACCTTTGAAACGTTTGGAAAGGTGTATTTCAGTGTGCCTAACTAAAAAGGGACGGTGATAAGTCTTCATGTTTTTAAGAGGGGTATAAAGTTGGAAAAAAAGTGCGTCTGAGAAAAATTTATGGCATGGTTGGTCTTCCTTTAAAGGTTTCATGCCATAAATTTTCTTACATGGACATTACTTATTTATAAATTTTTTTTAACCCTAACCCTCCTAAATCCTTTTCTGCATAGTGGAGGAATTTGGAGGATTGAGGATGTATGTCAAAAGTGCATCACTGATTTCGAAGGATGCCATACATGCTGGTTGATCAAGAGTGCCATTTGCACGGCCTCAACATAATGACAGGAATTGCTGGAGGATTTTGAAGGACTCTGGCAGTTAGGTACACCTCCAAATAACATTTTCAAGAAATTTTGGAGGTTTTGGGCTGAATGCAATTTTTTCATGCTGAAAATCGAAGGATTTTGGAGGATTCAGGAGGGTTCCTAGTTAAAGGGCCTAGAGGGGATAAGGGTTAATGAATGAATATGATTGAACATCCTATTACCCGTTAGAATCCTCCAATTTCCTTTTGATTTGTCAATGTCAGGGTTTAGCGAGTCTTATTTGTTTTTGTCGTCGTCAGATAAATGACTGTTTGCACCGACGAAATTCCAGCGTGAAATTGATGAATAATTGTAAGTCTCTTTGCTGTGCCGTTTTCAAGGTGGGGTCATACAGGTTTTATGGAGCTGTACCCGGAAGAGTTCATCAAGAAAGACTCGATGGATGAGATGAGCAGTGATGACGACAAGGAGACACGCAAGAAGAAGAAGATCAAACACAAGAGGTGTGTCAACATCCCTTCACTTGGCTTGCCCAAACCCACATAGCTGCAATGCAATAGACCGTATTCATAGGGAAGCCATTTTTAAAGATTTTGTTCCCAGACTCTCTAATATTCATTGTGATCTGTTTAATGGAGTGGCGCCAGACTATTTTGGGTTCGCCACCTCACTTTCCTTTTTTTAAGTGTTGCTCAAAACATTTTAATTCTTGGTCAGCGTATTTCATAATGATGTTGGAAATTGCCATGGACAGATTATTTTGAGCTCTCTCCCATGTGAGCAGCTGTTGCCTGCTGTGGTGGTCAAAAGTCGGGTACCGGTATGCAACATTGTGAAACTTTGTGTAAAGTTCATTGCTGTTCATAGACCACTTTTGTATCACTCCCGAAAACGGTTTTTATTGCCAATTTCCATATTGTTACAGACGTGCAGTGCTGTACATGAAGAAGTGCTTGTATCTTGGGAGAGTGGGGAATCTAGCATTGGTTGTCGCTTATCGTCCGGCCAAATTTTTGAAAGTTCTTAACCCCTTCAAGCCGGGATTCTTTTGACCGTGACTGCTGGGCTGTGGTATGCCCTGAATGGAGGGCTTTGTCCAGCAGCAGGCCTCATTGAACCAGCAGCTGCATGGGGAATAGACTGTATGTGAGGTATGCACTAATCCTCACACAAAGCCGCGGCTGCGGACGTGGACGGCTCCTGATGTGAAGGGGTTAAAGGCTTGAAATGTTCTTTCAATTGAGCTGCGCCATAAAAAAGCAAAAATACTCTCCTTCACGACTCTTCTTTGGCCGAGTTTCTTGGCTCAGTGACCACTAACAGAACTAGCTCAGAGATTTTTGCTCCCGCTCGTGTCGTTTTCATCCGCTTAAAAATGTTCCTCAGAGCATCACCAAGGCAAATCGGTTCCTGGTAATTATTATTTTGATACTACAACTTTTTGTCCATCCAGAGTCCCAACATGAAGTTGACTATAAAGTTGCCTCTGTATGGAGGAGCACCTGCTTTAGCTGTAACAGTCAATAGAGTCAAACATTGCTTCTACCATACTTCTATGGTCGGCCCACATGCTGTCAGTTATGCATGTTGTCTAGAGCTAGGTCTAGGTCTTCGCTACATCAGAAATACGTGGAGACAATAGACCTACCCTTATCTTTGGAAGCCTGTTCAGACATGGCCGTATCTGCGACTTCTTGACACCAACAGTCCTTCCGCGCATGCGTAAGGGGCACTCGGTTACTAAGCATTTTGCGCATGTGTGAGTAAGAGTGCTAGACGAACATGTATCCATACGTACATGTACTACTGGATCGTTAACGAATCGTGACAGAAAGCGTGGAGTTTTGCAAAATTTCCTGCAAAATACATTGTTTGCGAGCATGTTTAGTAATTTCAACGCAGCATTTATGGAATTCGGGATACAAGGCACTTGTCAACAACATTTGAGCTGTCTTCGCCTGGTAAAAATGTGAGAAAAAACTGTTAAAAAAATTTTGCATAGTAGGAGGACTTTTATATCCTGGAAGTCAGTCGCAATGCAGTGTAGATGTCATCCAACCTGGGCTACATGTGCTCTGTGACTTCATGACTCGGGCACTCCCGTATACCGGTAATTACTCAAAATCCAGACAACTTTTTAAAATTTAGTCTCCGATGTTGACGAGTGAAAATTTATGGTAATCCAAGAAAATAACTGCACCACACGAGCGTAGTTCACTATGGTGAGCTCTTGTTCGCAGTACCCGCTGCTACATCTGACTCAAACCAGCCAGCAGACATCAGCAAGCGTGTTGACTGATCACAATGCGCGAAATCTGTTGACCCTTTCCAAACGTGCATTGGGTCAACAGATTTTGCATACTGTGATTGGTCAACGCGTTTCAAACTCCTGGAGGCGTTCTATTGTGAATCACCCATATTGCCTTATACCTGTAGTGTGTTACTTTAGAAAACATTTTTTTGTACTTTAACATTGAGAGATCAAAAGCTGCTTTCATGGTGGTGTGTAATTTGGTCCTTTTTATTCTGTGGTAAACTTTAGGAAGCACGATGCCCAACATGACATGGTTTTGAACAAGCGCATAAAAGGTGGAGAGAATTGGAGCTCGTCTGAATCCAACACTTCCCCTGCTTCCTCTCAGGAGCGAGAAGCAGAATCATCAGCCAGAAGAGGGACACACCATTCCCGACGACAAAGCCCTCCCCCGAGCAGACAGTTCCAGCACCGTGGGGAGCCCAGAAGGGTGCCCTCATCAGGCAGTTCTAAAATCGGGAACCATCACCAAGCGACAGGTCGCACAAACCACACGAGGGCTCCCTCCGGTAGCCCCGAAAAGTCCAGTTCTGGGCACAGGGAGAGAAACAAGGTGGACAGGCGAGAGAAAAGGGCAACTGAGGAAGGAGAACGTGACAGGAGAAACAAGAATGTCAGTGGCCACCGGCACAAAGACGGAACAGATGCACATAATGAGAGTTCAAATTCGTTAAAGAGAAAACACGGTGCTGATCACCAGTGGCACAGGAAAAGAACAGAGGGTTACGAAACAGTAGCGGGGGAAAAGGAAGAACACCGCGCCAGTGGGAAAAGGCTGGACAAGAAGGAAAGGCCGCAGGTGGCAGAAGAGACGGGTGAAGATTGGAAGTCGGACAGGAAAGACCGTGACGGCAGTCGCCAACATCACCACCACAAGTCTTCAAGAAAGGACAAGAAACCACCTGACAGAGACAAGGACGACAGACACAAGAAGCGCAAATGACGCCCCTTCCTCCGCTGAACGAACCACTTTTGGTTGTTCCTTCCATGTTTGAAAGCCTGATGTGGATCGCTGTGAAACTGTGAAGTCAAACACGTGCCACTATTTTTGACTACCTCCAGTGAAACATCAGTTACACCGCTAAGACTCGTGGGCGTCGCCTGGAATTTTTTCTGAGGGGGGGAGCTTTCATGAGCACAAACTGATAACCATGAACCACATCACGCTGTAGGCATTTATGAATGTTGATGATGGTACGACGGGATATTTTTCATTTTTTTCTGTTTTCAAAATTCTTTAAAAATTCATATCTTCATTTACTGGACACTTACACCCACACAAAGGACTGTCTGGTTTCTACTCTCATCTGACAGACAACATCTATTGAGTATTTCAGCAAGGCCTGCTGCCTCGTAAAAAGAGCCCTGATTGTGCGGTGTTTGGTAATTTTCCTTTGTTCCCAAAACTAGCACAGTGCACTGCTGACTTCTTTTCAATAGGGGCCAGATTAGCATGCAGCGCCATTGTGTGGCTCATCAGTGCAGTGGTGGAGCACTTTTGTCCCGGGTGGTAATCCTTGCACTGAATGCCCCAAACAGTGGTATACTGTTTCAAAAAAATGCTTGATTTTCTCCGCTATTGACAGTGAAAATTTTTTTAGTAATTCCCAGCAGTCTGGTCTTTTGTTAAGAGTATGGTGTTTTCTTACAAGGCCCTGTTCCCTTTGACCAATTTCGGGCACCCTGGCTGTACATATAAAGAATACATGCCTGAAACCGGGCTCCCCAGCAGTAAGCGGTTAATAGTGCAAGGGGTCAGTTTCAAGGTGGTTTCAAGCAAATTGGTGATTTTCATTCCCTTTCATCGTTTTTCCTTTCTTTCGCTTTTTCTTCTTCTTTTTAACTTTTGTTATGTTTCAGAAATCAGAAATTTCCCCTGGGGATGGGTGTGAGTATCCCCCATGACGCCAACGCTAAGACTGTCAAGTCTACGGATGTGCATTTCCAGTTTTTTCTCAACACTGGATTTATAACCATTCCCCAGCCAGTATTCGATAAACTCACGAAACTGTGATTACTAACATGAGTAAGGTAAACCGTAAAGCATTAATAATGTGCCTTTAAATACTTTTGTTCATTTGCAACAGAGAAGTGCAAGGTTGATTGCTTTTTTCAGAAGGGTGTTTTCAAATGAGCGAAAGAGGTTTACAGGAAATGAAAGCGTAGCAAAAAGGACATGGTTACCTGTTATTGTGTGTCAGGAATATGTATCCCTTCAACCCTAACAGTCCCAAATCCTCCAATTTCAATACGATTTTTACATACACCCTAGGGGGTTAGGGTTAATACGGGAGTTTCACAATAGCGCGCCTCCAGGAGTTGGCAAAGCGTGGGCCAATTAAAATGTGCAAAATTTGGCGACCCTTTCCTAACGAGCATTGTGTGCATACTGTGAAACGTCCATATCGTTGCACGGTTGCAAGCCAAGTTGGTTGAGTTTGCTGGCTTGACTGATAGCCACAAATAGCTCCTGGTGATTTGAGCATGCCCCAAGACCATGAACATGGGAGAGAATTTGAAAAGCAGCGCTCACCAAAAAAAATTTCCCATGCTATCGGAACTTTGTTTTCTTCGTAAATGGTTCTTACATGCACATTATTTTTATTATAAATAGATGAAACAGGCCGAGAGAGAAAAGCATAAAAGCCATCCAGTAACCCACACAAAAGTAAAGTAAAATTCCCAGTAGCTCTGTCTTTTGTTCTGAGTACAGTCTTTTGTTACTAGGCCCAGCTCCTTTGTCAGATTTCGGGCACCCCGACTATCCATACAAAGCCAAGGTCTCTGGTACCGGGAACTCCAACACCGAGTGGCTAATGAACAAAAATGTATGAAATCCTTTATTACTTTCCAGCCGTGAGTCAAGCAAAATCAAGGAGTAGTGTGTGCTTTCTTAATCAAAATTTATCCTCGAGTAAGAAGTGGCGGGAAACTTTTTTCCCCATCAATTTTTGACTGCAGAGGGGAATAAGATCTGTGATTCCATCTCAATTCCACGTACAACCTGTGCATTGGCTCTCTTGGTTCATGATGACAATATATTACCGTTGTAAAAACTTGGCTTCAAGGACTCGGGCTTGTATTTGTTGAGGGTGCTTTGTGTCCCACGCATTTAGTCAACTCTCTTGACATGTACAATGAAACTACCAGGGATAATGAAAAGGTCTGGGAAAACAGACCAAATACTCAAGGAAAGAAGGGACTTTGGACTCCTAAATATGTTATGACGTTTTGTGTGTGTTGTTATTGCAAGACTGCTATTTGTGTTAAGTGGACCCCAAAAAAAGAAAGAAGGTGTTAATTGTAATACCCTGGCCATAAAGGCAGTGGGGTTTTTTTATACGTTCTACTGCTTACTGCTTGAAAAGAGACTAAATGTACCAGGCATACTACTTTTCCTTGGATCGGGTGATTTCCTCATTTTTCACTCCACACTCACACCATTGAAAATTGAGACGACACTGTACAAAGTCTTGTAAAGATTAGAATTTCCTCGTTTTTGGGGGTCAAAAGTCCAAGTTTCATGCCTGATGCATACATGTGTGTATCTACGCTGTGCAGGAAGTGGAGATCTTGTATTTTACATACATGTAGCAACAACTTCCTGTTGGCAGGGACTTGGCATTCAAGGTCAAGCACATTGTTCAACAACTAATCAATTGTGACCCGTCACAAGAAAATGACAGTAAAGTGACATTCTGCTCTCTCTTATTTTGAAGGTTCAAAATCCAATTGAAGTGGAGGTCAATTTTTGGGTTTTGTAATATTTGGAAAGAATAACCTGTCTTATATTTAGTTCCAAATATTTTGCAGGATCATATAGTTAAAAGTTTCATTTTCACAGCAGCTTTGACAATAGTGTTATTCGTGCCTGGACTGAAGTGTTGAAACGATGCCAGGAACAGAGACGCAAAGCTGCCAGATTAATGCCACATTGTCACCTTATACTTTCACCCTAAGTGTGCCATGTACATGTCGTTGGAAAGCTCTCTTTCTGCTGAACTCAAAATACCAATATCTAAATTTTTGAAAATTCCGACTTTCAGCTCATTTTGTGGTGACAGGTCACATATTGCTCTTCTGGTAGCAATGGCTACAAACAATGGCTACATGCATTGCACTATGGTTTATCCACTGCAAAAGACAGGACGAGGGATCCACTCATTTTCTGGCAAAATGTAAGAGCAGTGGGAGATATAACTATATTGCATGTGTCCATGCAATATAGTTATATCTCCTACTGCTATAACTATATTGCATACATGTGCCCATGCAATATAGTTATATCTCCTACTGCTATAACTATAGTGCATGTGCCCATGCAATACAGTTATATCTCCTACTGCTCTTACATTTTGCCAATGGCACAGTTACACTCTTGCAGCATACCAGTATGTGTATGAGTACATGGTCCGTGACGTTTTGAATTGGCCCTCTGTGCTGTACGTTAATGGCCCCGCTGTACTTTAAGTGCACCTCGAATCGAAACATGTTTTCTCTGATTTTATCTTTTTAAATAAATATTGAAGTGTTCAAATCACAGTATCGAATATCGGGTCATCGGAGTCGATATTTTTGTACCTTATTTTAAAGGCCGCGGTAAGTTAACTTAAAAGATTTTTTTATCGAGTACTGTTAATCGAGTACGAGTACTTTGATGCTCAAGTACAATTTTTGGATGTCGAGTCCCGAGTATTTTGTAGCCCAAGTACAAGAACTGTAGTTTGAGTATGAGTACTTGGACGTCCAAATATGAATACTCTGAATACGGTACTCGAGTAGTACTTGAGTACAAGTAAGTACTACAGCACTGCTGTATTGGGGTTTTTGTATGCCGTCTGACGGAAGGAAAATTGAATACAACTGCCACACCCCCCCTCCCTCATCCACCTTTGTACTCAGTAGTGTAAAATTCACAAAGGTAATCAACCCACACAGTTGCATCTCAAGCAAAAGCCCTACCATACAGGCACCTGCCGCTTTCCAGTGACGGTTAAACCGTCTGTCCACTCCAAAGACAATAGTCGAAACTTGTTAATAAGAGCACTCTTAATACAAAATTCTGCCTATAACAAGGACATTTTTAGGTTCCAATCTTTTGTTTTTCATTCTTTTCATTCTTGATAGTACAAGATTCCTGTTATAACAGGGTAATTTGCCAAGTCCGAAGGACCTCTTATGGAGATTCGACTGTATTCATGTATTTGAAACGGAACCGCATTGACATGACCATGCCCAATAATATTTCTATTACACCTAGTTGGCAGCCTTTGATAGAAAATATTCATGAGTGCAAGGTGTTCATCAGTGATGAAAGTATCATGCAAATGTTCATGTGATAATTTAGGGTTTGTCAATTTTATTGGTGCCTAATTTTCTGGACCATCTCACCCCTCCTCCCCATCAAAGGTCAAACTTTCCCAAACTGTCTGAAAGAGTGAAAATTACGATTGCTGAAACTACCAGGTTGAGACACATCAACTGACTTGAAAAAGAATTTTCCAAATATTCAGACTCGTCCTTGGTCCATTCCTTCTCTTTAATATTAGTCTTGCCGGAGATAGAAAAATGAAATGGATTCTGTTTCATTTATTCAGATTAATTTTCTGTCACACATGTAGTTTGTTAATCCAAACAAATTCTGTTTTCCCTCTAAACTAAGAATTAGTCCAATAACAACCACGAAGGAAAAACAAGCACACACAAAAATTAACCTGTTTTAAAACTGGCTACTGAGAGAGATAAGAGGGGCACTTGCTTTGCAGCCAGTAACCCCGTCTTACGTATTTCAGTTGAGAAGTGTACCTGCTCAAACACAAGCAAGGAAAACGAAACATGTGTGTACATGTATCTGGGTATGAATTCACCCCGTCATTGCGACCACAATTTGTGGGCATCAGAACGTCTCTCAATCGGGTCCAAATTTGCCTGTCTGGGTTTTGACTAAACGCCCCAAAATGCAAGAGTGGTCATACATGTATGTGTCCATACACTTAGACTGAAAGTGTTAAGTACAATTGTTACGATGGTGGTTCTTGGCAACCATCTTTTTTCCTTTAGCCGGTACACCCACTTTATAGAGGTCGTGCATGGCCACTATCTTTCCCATAACCCCTACTGAAAATGTCCAATTCATTTCCCTATTGAGACCAATTCACTTACCCATTGGATCCAATTCACTTACCAATTCAATAACAAATTCCAAAACCAATTACTTTTGCATGGCATCAATTGGAATCCAATTGGGTTTCAACTGGTTTGAATGGTAAATTGGGACCTTTTCTCAGTTGGACCATTTCAAACAAACTGACACCATTTGAATGCCAATTCACAATCCAATTGTAACCAACAGAAGAACCAATTAGAACCATTTCAATACCAACTGAGTCCCATTTGAAAAATCCATTAGATGGGGGAAACGGGCTGAAAGCAAAGCAGTTGGAACCAGTTGCATCCCATTTGCAATTCCAATTGATTGTGGCAAATAAACAGCAATGTAAACATGCCAACTGAGCACCAATCAATTGCCAATTGGAACCAATTCATTCCAATTAAATCCAATTAAAAAATCAATTGGTTTGAATAGGCCATTTTTAGCAGGGACTGCTTTTGTTGGAGGGACAGTACAAAAGGCCTACTCATGTGTGACCCAGTCCCTGTGGAACAAAAGCTCTTTACTGGAAGAATGACTACCTTCCACAGCATGTAATGTTCAATTATTCTGACTGCTCAATCTGCCATTTGCGAGTTAAATTAGAATAAAATCTGGTACACTTAGTTCTTTAAATTCATGTTAACATGACAACTTGAATTCTCTATACTAAATCCACTGTTGCTGTACCCCATGATTCGGGGCAAGCTTTTGCTTAGTTACATAAGAGACGCCTTGCAACAATACACTGTTCTCAATGGATAAAAAGGGCACAAAGGAACCAGTCCATTCCAGAAATGGGGGTCGCTATGCGAAAGCTTGCCCTGAATCACGAGGTATATAACAGTAGCAACAGTGTCTTTAGTCTGGGGAATTAAAATTGTTACGTTTCTATGCAATCAGATTAACACAGTGTACCATATTTTATTCAAATTTAACTCACAAGTGGCTTATTACAGAGGAGGACTGGTTGCCGTAAGTTCACTTTTAATACATGTACATACAACTCATTTTATATGTACATTGTATATTGTGTGCATATACCAGTAAATTAAATTCTAGGTTTATTCACAAAGGATAAGGTACATGAACAGTACATCTTCATACTTTTCGACAGGCAAATCCTTGCTTTTCATTTTGTGTATGTATATTCAAGTAACAAGGCAACTTTAAAGTGGTTTTTAAATATGAGTAGTTAAGTCTCTAGGGTTACGCCTGCTACATACAGTACGTGTACACCAGGCACAAAATGCAACAGAGGGGTACCCCCCCAATGAGTCCAATCCCTATACACACTCCGGCTTGTTGTCATTCAACACGTCCCTCCTAGATGTCTGAAAGAATTCCTGAGATACCAGTCTAACAATGACCAACACAAAGGCGGGTACCCTCCCTGTCCCATAGTTTGCTTCATACGTGTACATGTACATGTATGCGCCATACAGCAACAGAATACCTGATTTTTTCTCTGTTTAAAAAACTTGCACAGCTGCTGATCACTCTGCCAAGGTTTCAAAAAATTCTCCCATGGCATTAGAGTTGAACTTACATGTATATTTAAAACTTACCGTGACTTAAATATTCAAATATTTACTGAAATTGTATTGTCACACAATGTTGTTTGCTGTAATGCAGGGACCAGTACAGTGCCCAATGGCCAAAAACAGACACACTTGTATCAAGCAAACACATGAACATCCATGTATAAAGTCTGATCCCAAAATAAGGCCAAAAATCAGTCTGATGTACTTGCATGTCTATGGCATAGATGTATAGACCAGGCAAGATGTGGGACGGAGGGGTACCCCCCTTACCTGTCCAATCCCTATACATACTGTAGACTATTGTTACCTAACACATCCCAACTAGAAGTCTGTAAAGAATTCCTGAGATTCTGATCAAATAATGACCAACACGAAGGCGGGGGGGGGGTTCTTTCCATTCTATATCTTGCCTCAAATGTCAAATGTAGATGTATCTTACATCACTAAGTCTGTGCATGATCAGATATCAACAGGGTAACAGATTACATATGCATGTATGCACATTTACAAATGCCCATGTGAAAGTACATGTAAAAGATGTGAATACACCTTTTTCATATAAGCCATCCATTTCTGAATGGTTCCCAGAATCTTTGTTATGATTTCCAAATTGTTGTATGGGGCAGAGCCAGGCTATTTTGTACCATTAGAGAGCATTCCATAGGCATCTTTCATGTTTTTTTTTAATGTGGCCTATTCCATTGATGGATGTTAATTACAAATTTCACACTACTCAGAGTACACAGGTACATGTATTTTAATTGGTAACGAAATAAAATTTTATTGCTTTCGTTTCCAGACTGAGGAGTTTACCAAATATGGCTAACTCCCAAAATAAATTTTATCACAATTTTTTTTATTTCTATACATGTATGTAGCTGTAGATATTTAATTCTTTTATTTCAAAACAAAATAAAAATGTATTGTACTATTATATGTGTATATACGTACATCTATCCCACTTATCCCAAAATGAATGATGAACTTGAACCTAAAACTTGAAAGCAAGTGAAATCAAAATTAGGTGTAGCCTCTATGATATGCAAATGCTCAAGAATTCAAGGTTTCAAAGTGTGCTTAAAATTCCTATGAAAATTGAAGAATTCAAAAATCAAGCAAAATGGTTACTCTCCTACTATGCCCTATGGCACTCTATGCCTAGCAGTGGTGCGCATGAATATGTATGATCACAGGGAGCACTGGAGTACATGTTCATGTTCAGCGTACACATTGTACATGTACATGTACATGTACCGTATTGTACACTATACTTACATGTACTTGCTGATTAATATTGTACGCTTTAATACATATACCATATAATCATAAACATGCGACATCCTTTGATATCACTATACACGTATGAATACTTTACAATAAGCACACATGACGGCATAAATTTTTCCACCCTCATCCATAATTACCCGGCCTTTTTTTTGAACTAAACAGAAATGAGAGACTGATCATTTGCACAAGTAGAACATACACGAAGTACATGTACAGATGTACATGTACATTGTTCTTGTAAACGTTTCAAGTGTTCCCAAATTTCTGTCACTTTTGCAGCTGTTGTTAAAAGGGGCTGCAGCCGAGTACAAAAACTGAAATCTATTGGAAGACCAACAATTACCAGGTACCCCTTCAGGTCAAAGTGCAGTGTTCTACAATTGTCAATTCTCGTTAAATACATGTATGCAGGAAACATAAAACCTCATGTCTAACCGTGCTTTGGGTGCACAATAAATTGGCCAGGCTGCAATCCATTGAAAGGGTAGCTGCAATTTGTTTAATGCAAACCTTCAAAGTGCACCTTTGTGTGTACAAAGTTGATGTCATTTTCAACATTTGTTTTACTATTTCAAAGGGTGTTTGGCTGCCTTTTTGGCTTTTATATGCAAATGTATTTCCATATTCATGACAAACTTGTGATGTCATCCAAGGAAAAAAGCCTAAACGTTACATTGGTTTGTGGTACAAACTTTGTACATAAAAAAGCCATGCATTTTTGTAGATGTTGCTGGACAAAATTTTCACTTCTTTGCTGATTCAGTGTGTACTGAATATGCACAGCAGTAAGTGAACACCAATACTTTTCTCAGAAAGGTTTTTAATGGATAAATTCTGGATTCACAATTTTAATGGAAAAACCTACATGTACATGTATGCAATGACCTATATCTTCCCTGGGTGACATCATAGCAACAGGAAAGCATGACCAACTTTACATTTACGTGTTCAGAAAAAGTACATAATTCAGCGCATTTAACCAAATGGGAGTGTAAAAGAGTTGTCATCACCAAAGAAGAGAACAAAGATGCAGCAATATCATCTGAGAATAATTCACTGCGGCTACACTTTTAATACAAATTTCATGTACATCAACAGAGATGCCAACCTCTTGACACCAGAAAACAGACTGAATATCCTAAAAAATCAGATTTTGGAGAGAAAACTCAGATTTTCAAAAAAACTTGATACTACCACTTGTCAATCGTGATAGCTTGCGGTAGCCATAATTGTACATGTATGTACAGTGCTGTATACTTCCACAGCTAGCTGATGAACACACACGCTTCGATATCGCATTACTGCCGATTCCGCGCCTCCACTGTCTGAGTGTAGGCTCGTTGTTCCACGTTGTTGTCGAGGATGCAGGGATATTTCCATGCAATCCCACTGTTTATATCGTGGTTTTGGAAATTTTTTTTTGAAAGATGACATGTCGTATTTTCAAGAGGCCATATCGTTTTATCGTATTTTCCTTTTTTTTTTATCGTACTAAATACGATAAAATCGTACTGGTTGGCATCTCTGCATCAAGTATCGTGACTGGTTCCTGCTAAGTTTATATTGAGTGTTGTTTGTATTCCTAATCCTATAGACGCGAGTTTGTTTCTGCATTCAATTGGGGACCCTGACCAATAGAGGACAATAAGGTCCCCGATTGACAGAGGGTCAACGATTGACAACTGTGTACAAAACATATGGGTGGTCTTCTAAAAAAAGTTAGAGTACAAACAAAAGAGGGTCCCAGGTTGCAGGCAAACACACACTTGTGTGTGAACAAAAGCATATATTTAACATGTTACACATGCACAGCAATTGCAGCAGGTGTGTGATGTACGACATTCATGCAAGCACATTGTAAGTACTTATATTCACTTTGACGTTCCAGGATTGAAAGCCTGCAATGCATCTAGTTTTGCTGAATCACCTTGTATGAAGCAGCTGCGTGTATTGACAATGCTGCAGTCTTTGTGACCTTTCTGAGTCAGTCTCCTGACAGATGTCCGTGAGGGGCGTCATCCTGACGCCGAGTCATTACTCATTGAGGCCACAACCTTGAACCCACGCACTGCTTTCCTTCAACCCTTCAAGTCTCAATTTTTTCCCTGATACTGAAGCCTGGTCTCCTGAGATCAGCTCACAGCAGAGGTAGATTTAGTGAACTTTGGTGTGAATGTTTCGAGAGTTACATGTACATGTACATATTATACAACTGGACAATGCTTGCGTTGCAATGTACACGTACATGAGTAATTCCAGAAATTAGGGGTCCAGAAGTGTGACTTTTAGGTGCTCCTGTTACATCTAACCTTTATTATTCGACATGGAAATATCACCGGAATAGATTTCAAACTATTACTCTTCGTATGACAGTTATTCTGCATTAATAATTCATCACACGAGGAAATTAGAAAATGTGTTCTGAACTTACAAAATCATGTTATATGTAACGGGGACACACAAAAAATGGACCCCAAATTACTGAATTACCCACATCTAAACTTTCTTGCTCATTCTCATTCAAGAACCTTTGCCCGTTGAAGACTTAACTTTTGAATTTGTGCGAAAAATTGTTCACACACACACTTTCAGTCGGGGAGTGACAATTTTTGACTAGCGCTGGTTTACAACAAAACCAAACCTGTAATTTCACAATGAAAGCGTAAGCATTTTGACTGGCCAAACACAGGTGTGAAAGTTACTCCAGACTCTGCCCAAATTGTCTGTGAATGAGACAACCCTGGCTTGAAAGGTGGCCCTGCAGCTGTTAACTCTGTGGTCAGCGCAGTTCCATAAATGAAACCCTCCATCGTCATATGGATTGCCTTATCCAAATTGCTTTATCTACAGTGTCAGTCTTTCCACACTTCACATGGGAAAGCAGGGCATTGTGGCATCTTACTGAATACAGACTGCCAAAATTTTCTACCAGGAACAGGTTATGGGTGAGGAAAGGGTCACTGTAAGCCACAATGCATTGGTTATCTGCTTTTCAATCACATCTACCCATTCTTAATTCGGGTCACATAGAATTTACAGCCAACATACCATAAAATTGACAACCAAAGGTTTAGATCTTTGCCCAGTTGAGCTTTTGCAAAGGGAATTTCTAGTCTCTGTGTTCCTGGGTTGTCCATCAGTCCAGTGCAAAAATTTTAACAAAATAGCAAACAGCCACATTTTTCAAAGGATGAATAATTTTGGGCTTACTGTAGCTTTCACATCAGACATGATGGTGTACTCCCAGAGGTGGTCTCTTCAAAGCAGCCATGAAAACTGCCAATGACTGTCCAGCATAGAGCTGTTTAAATTTGTTTCAAAGGAGAGTCTGGTACCAAAACAGTGAGGGGACACATTTCAAGCAACTGTGGATTGCGGGCAAAGGGAACTTGACATACAGGCACTTGTACAAAAAATCTCTGTCCTCAACACGATTTCGGTGGCATGATTTGTTCCTTTCTCGCTCATCCTAACAGCACCTTCTTCAGCTTGTTGCTGGGGACGGCACCCTCGTCTTCCGACTCGGTGTCGCTGCTGCTGGTGTAACTGCTGCTGCTGTAGTTGCTGCTGCCACTGCTGCTGGTGCAGCTGGGCGAGCACAGGTACTGCATCAGCGGCAGGCGGTACTTGCCGCAGAAGTCCACAAACTTGATGTGTTCCACTCGGGACGTGAAGTACACCCCTGTAATTTGGCATGCCAGAAAGACAAAATAAATTTACAAATTGATTAACCCTGACCCTACATAATACCACAAATTACTACTTGTAGTAAAATGTAGTAATCAGTGCTACCGCTTGTAAGACATGTAAGAGGACAAGACCGTATTGTTCTCTGAAGCCATAAGATACAATAGATAAGACAATGTACCATACAGTGCTGTGGCACTATGAATGCATGACTTTATTGTTCTCTGTACGAGTAACAATAGAAGTAGTAATTTGTAGCGCTAGGTCCTTCAGGCTCAGGCTATTACTTAGTGTTATGTTGTATTGAGTAATGTGAGCCCAACAATATGCTTGGCGGTTAGAGTTAACTTAGCGCATCGCTGGAAATCACCACACGATCCAACAGTGGCATTGTTCAATAGGACTAGCTCCCATTGTCTCAACATGGCCCGTTTGTTTGGCTGCTGTTGATTGCCCAGTGCATCAAAGTGCACCAGACTCTGACACCTGTTGCACTATGCTGTATCTGGCAGGGTTAGGGTTGAGGCATGCAAGGAAGTGGTATGCATACAGTATATGGTGGAGAAATAGGATTTATGAATCATTCCTAGAAGGCACATGTAGGGCCAGGATGTCATCTATGGTAGTATTGCAACAACTGCCAGTCCCTTGCTAAGCGAAAGTTTTAAAAAACACCTGACCACTAACAGTAAAATCTTTGAAACTGATACCCCTTGGCTCTAGTATCATGTACCAGTACCCATTTTTTGGAAGGAAATGTATAAAGATTTATTCACAAATGTGACAAAATTAATGCAAAAATAAGACAGGTAAATTTTCTCTTGAAGCATTTGTACTCCTGGTTATTACATGCAGGCACAATAACAAATGCATAATTTTAAAAGCACTGCTTTATAAACCTTCCTGGGAGATAAAGCATTGTACATGTAAACATGCTCTGGAAAGTCAACCCCCCCCACAAAAAAAATGGATGGTCCTTGGTTTTACCTGAGCACTTAGGATTTAGGCAATGCTGAGCTGAATCCAGGTAGTGGATGAGACTGTGGGGTAGGCCCTCGGTGGTGTACGGGATGCCCCGGTTCTTGATGGACCGGCCTGCCAGCTCCAGCAAGGACGGCGGCTGCCAGGTCAGGTCCCGGACGAAGCGCACCACCAGCGGGTTGCCACGCAGGCTCAGCTCGCACAGGTCGCCCAGCGAGACGATCTGGGGCGGCAAGGTGGTGATACGGTTGTTGTGGAGGCTGAGCGACTTCAGGCTGCGCAGCTGGGCCAGCTCTGAGGGCACCGCCTCAATGCGGTTGTCGCTGAGCACCAGGCACATGAGGCGCGGCAAAGAGCTGACCTCCACGGGGATGCTCGTTAGCTGGTTGCCACCAAGGTACAGGATTTCTAATCTGAAAGGCACAGATTTTATTTTACACAGGATTACATGTATTCCCTTCTTATTTAAGAACTGCAATTGTATGTGTGGATAAAAAAATACTTAGTAAGTAAAAAATTTCAACCCCCCCCCACAATTTGGTCTCGACTTTCCATAAAAAAAGTCCCCTCACTATATGGCAGAAACAAAACTACCACACAGTTTGACAAGATTCTGTAGTTTCGGAGCACACCAGCCACCAACACTGTTACAAAGTCCCCTCACCAGAACCTCACTGGTAGTAACTACAATTTCCATTCCACTGTCAATTTAGAGTCAACCTTCAATTCGTGTACAAGTACACTGGCCAAAAGTACATGCATGTAATGTACACATACATGTGCGTATGTACAGGTTCATGTAATACTTAAAGCAGTGAGGTTTATGTAATACTTAAAGCAGTGAGGTTCATGTAATACTTAAAGCAGTGAGGTTTATGTGATACTTAAGGCAGTGAGGTTTATGTAATATTTAAAGCAGTGAGGTTCATGTAATACTTAAAGCAGTGAGGTTCATGTAATACTTAAAGCAGTGAGGTTTATGTAATACTTAAAGCAGTGAGGTTCATGTAATACTTAAAGCAGTGAGGTTTATGTAATACTTAAAGCAGTAAGGACAGACTTGACAGCAAGATTTCATTTAATTCATGCTTACAGTATGAGTACCAGGTGGGTTCATGTACATGTAAATGGTACATATACATGTACATATACCGTACATGTTTGCGTAAAGCGTATATACATGTTCATGTACATATACATGTACCGTACATGTTCTTAATTCCTTTTATCAGAGAATAATTATTTATCCTAAGTGTAGTATATGTTTTGTATTTATTTCAATTAGTTTGGAGAGCCCCTTTGACAGAATTTATTTCTTTTGGGCACTCCTTCGGGGGCTGATTGCAATATTCTTTGTAATTTTTATCTTCTCGTCTTATTGTGTTTGTATTTGTTTATTGTATCTTCTGCTTTCTGACAAATGAAATAAATGAAATGAAATGTACATATACATGTACATACATGTACATGTACATATATCATACATGTTCGTGTACATGTAAACATGTATGTGTTCATGTACACATTCATGTACAAAAAGACAACAGAGCAAGTACATTACGAAACAGAGTACATGTCATGCATGTAGAGAAAAGTACAGTCTAGGCTACTTGAAAATGCTTGAGACACCACACACATATATGTACATGCTTGAAAATGTGTGCTTACATGTACTGTATGGGTAATTCCAGAAATTGGGGGTCCAAATGTGTGACAG